CTTATGAAAAAGACGAGGTATATGAACGAGGACTTCTGGGTGGGCCTACTAAACTACCGGTGTGCACCGTTGGAGGACGGTCGGGCTCCCTGCGAACTGCTGACGGGAAAGAGACTCCATGGACGACTTCCAGATTTCGGGGTACTTCCGGCTCCTCAAGTACGTAAGCAGAGTCAGAACTTTAGGACCGCGAGTCATCTAGAGGCCCTACAAAAGGGCAACGCTGTGAGGATCCTCGACGACCAATGCTGGAGCATGAAGGCACAGGTCGAAGGATGTGATGCTCGTCATTCCTATCGAGTTAGCACGGACGACGGAAGGTCACTTCGGAGAAACCAACAGCATCTTCTAAAGACCTCAGAAGGATTACAGCCCGGACGAAGGAACGGTGAGATAGACAGCAGAAGTGAGCAGTACAGTATGCAACTTTCAACCCAGACGTCCGCTCAGGTCATTCCAAAGGTACCGCAGCGTACCAACCAGAACGTCTCGCCAACGGAATTGGATACCTCGTGTGACGAACGTCGACATAGAGCTGACGTCCCGAGTCCCTGGCTTCGCCGAAGCACGAGGATCAAGAGTAAACCGGCCCGGTTAGGCTATGAGCCTATGACTAAGATTGCGGACAACTTGTTTGAGTGTTTGTTTTGTGTGACTTTTGTTGTTTTATTTTACGAGAGAAGGAAAGATGTATCGGTATTAAGGCTGGCAACACTGTTGGCCCGAGCCGAGCTAGGCTCGCGGGCATTAAAAAAAGAGATCAGTCTCGTTCCAGCTGCCACGTCTACGGCCTGATTCCTAAACAATGGCGGTTTGAACTCGTAAAAAGGGAGCGAAACTAGGAGTCATTTAATAATTGATGAGAAGTAAGATTTTTTTATGGGACACTGGAATATTTTACCTAAAAACCATACGGTATTTGAATTGCTATGTGATAAGGATCATAAAATTTGGTAAGCTCGAAGCAATAAAAAAAAAAGGAATATATGAGCATTTTAGCCTATTTTAGTTTTGCTACAAACTCTCTCTTTCCTGCAAGCGACTGTAAAAATTCTTATTGACAGACCTGTAGGTATACTATACACAAAAATCGTTTCCGTCCGTACAACTAAATATTTTGCAGAAAAAGAAACTAAATTATTGCGAAATTGCGTATTGCCTTTTAAAGAGCCGTCAATTCTGCCTTGTGGTGGCCAAAAGAAAAATACGAATCATCGTGACTTTTACAGAACAGTTTATTTACTTTTGTCCTCGAAAGTTTAATTAAAATAATTTTGTTCTAAAGAGGAAAAAAAAGACATTTTAAAGTTGAGCTGTCGCGCCGCAAGCTGGCGTCGTTTCTTGCGCCTCTTCTCTTCACAGCACGCCACTGTCGAGCCCGGCAAAGCGTGCGATGGTGTCACGATGTGCGCACGCAGCAGGTAGACAGCAGGACCTCGAGTTGTAGGGTACATCTTGGTGAGAAGAGGCTTTTTTCACTTTTGTTGCATTATGGTTTTTCCTATTTCGACCGTTTTGCGTGGCGGTGTCCTCCTGTGGTCTTCCACCGTCTTGATATCAGCGGATGCTTAGCGCTGCCGGGTCAGAGCATCCACTAGTAAGCTAGCTGTTTCTTACATACACATCGAAATCACTCTCCCTTGTCAAGGTCAGGACAGATGTAAACGTGAACACAAAAGCCCCGTGAACGGGAAATCTCAAACGACGAGGTGATGTGGTGTTAACGAATGTGCGGCGCCGTTGGAGGCTCACGCCTCGTTTGTGTTTAAATCAGCCTTGAAACAGCAAATTCTTGCGTCGCTGAATAGTTCCGCTTTTCATTGCAGTATGCGTGACGGCTATATTTCGCGGCGATATTATCGCGTTTCCCTTTTAGGAGAAGTCCATGTCGGCTGATGCCGCCCGTCGATTAGGCATCGCGTTTCGGAGTGTGAGGAGCCGCCCTCGGGTAGAAAGGGCACGACTGGCCTGCAATGGCTACGGACTGGCGGCGCCTCCGATTATTGCACGATACCCACCGTTTCTTCCCTTGCAGCCGGAAAGACGGACAAGGGGAATGGCCAGCAAACTCCGCCCTTTCTTTGGGTCTAATCGTGTCAGCTATCGTCACAGGTGGCGCGCTGTGCGGCGAAGAGGCGTTAAGAAGCGACGCCGGGTTGTGATGCGAGCTAGAGTTCAACTTCAAGAATTGTTTGCTCGCTTTAAACAAAAAAATTTTTATTAAACTTTCAGAATCAAAAGACAATCGAATTTTCTTCGAAACCAACTATATTTTGTATTTTTACTGAGACCACTTTAGAATGAAATAAACGGTTGTTTATGCGTCAAAAGCACTTTTTTTCCAATTTAAGGATATATTTTTTTTTACTTTTTACTGCAAGATATTTATTTGAGCGGGGTTAAACATTTTTTTATAGATTATATAGCTGCAAGGCAGCCGGTAAAAAGTCCTATTAAGTCCCGGAAGAAATAAGATACTTTTAATAAAATAACAAAAATGCTAAAAATTTCAGTAAAATTGTGTTTTCTAAAAAGTATTTAAATTAAACAAAACTGCACAAGTGCAACCACATTGTAAGTCGAAAGCCGTGCAAATTTAAGAAAACATTGTTGTCGGGTGTTTCATAAAAAAGCTAATTTTGCATCAATTATTGAGTGAGGCCTAGTTTCACGCTCTTTTTAAATCTTAAAACCGCGCTCACGTTATCAAAAAAATTTTCGTCAAAAATATTTCAGGGTATGGCTATGGACGTTGCGGCGAAAAACCATGAATTTTTTTTTTTTTTAGAAATTGAAGGTGGTCGAGCGCAACATCTGTGACGTTTGATATGAAATGACCCTTAAAAACAAGCACAAAAAAAAGCATCCGAACAACATAATTGATGATAACGTGCTCCTGATAACGATGTGAAGCACGTAGCGCTAACCGCATACGTTTTACCGTAAAGATTGCTGTTGCGCAAGCTGCCGCGGCGACGGCAGCTTGCGACGTGAGGATTGACATCACTAGTCTTCTATATATAAAAAGTTTTGGTACATTGCATTTACTGTTCCTTCGTCAATAATTTGGCATAGTGCAGTTGGCGATCATTGCAGGTGATACCAGAGCTCGCTGACCCACCATCTTCACAGCGTGGATTGGAGCCTCGGCATTTTTTTTAGTGTATAGCTGAGAAAATCGCAACATGAGAACACGTTTTCATATTAGGTAAATCTTGGTGCCCTCGTTTATGCACCGAGATTCGATACATCGACTTCCAAGGGAAACGCCATTGGTTGTCGTCGCCATGGTGACGAGATTATTTATGACAGCCAGTGGTATTGAGACATCACGCGCGAGAGGGCCCTGCTGCGGTGGTGACACTATAATGGCCACCAGGGTTCGAGATGTAAACGTCAACGATATCCGCTAAATTTGGCGGGAGCTCCGCCTAATTGTTGTTTATTTGCGCAACGCTTTCTCGTAATTCTGAATGCTGAACGGGCCTTAACGGAGGCGAGGTTCGGATTCGTGCACCCAACATTACTCTGTTTAAAAGCGTTGTTGACATTGTAAAGCCACGTGACGAAACGAATTCGCACCGTCAGTCACGTAGCGCTTTGACGTCACGGGACCTGACGTGGCCTGACGCGCGTCACGTTTCCACGTCAAACGTAGTCACACGAGCTAGGTTACCGCGTCGGCCGTAGTCAACGTTGCTAGATTTAGCTCAGTTACTGAGCTGCCCATAGACGCTGACTGCTCGAGCAATACAACCCCCGCCCCCCTCTGACTTCACGGCTTGACTCTCGTCGATCGACGCGCTACCGTTTTGGGGGGACGGCTAATATGGTAACTTCAGCGTATTTTATAGAACACGTATATTTCAAAGCACAGCGTCTAGGCGGAGTTCTAATGAACTTTGTGGAACACATAGTTTTGAACCGAAAATCTAGATGGCGCTTCAAACGACGGGAGGCGGACTGAGGGGAGAAGGGAGAAGGGGAGGGGGTCCCTTTGTTTTTCGAGAGTTTTACAACTGACTGAGGTAATTTGGTAACATTGGCCATAGCGGGTCTAACCACGTGACGGCATAACCTATGGTGTCATCTCGCTGAGCCTGTTGACTTCACTTTAGCTTCGCTGTCGTCGACACGGTATACGGCCAGTACGGCTACGCAACGGCCGCGGTTTCGTCAATTCAGTTCCGTTCAGTTTATTTTGCTCACGGAGAGAGGGGGAGAACCTTGCGATGGTCTTTTTACACCAAGGTCCACTCTCCAACGTGACATAGGGATGTGACGTGACCTCAGGCCACGTCATGTGGTCACGAGACGGTCAAACCACGAGCCCATACTTGTGTACATACCGCTAGCAAATTGCGCTTAAAGGATACTTGCTGGGTACATCGACTATAGCCGCACTTTTTTCTTTTTTGTAACCCTTCTCTGGTAACGCTATAGTGCAGTGTTGGCGGTAACGCAGTGCATGTAACGGCGTTACTGGTTACGCGTCACTTTTTCCGTAACGCATTACACGTTACTTCCTTTTTTAAACAGTAACGGATATACGTACTTAGGTTAACTATTTGGAATGACAGGTTATGGAATCTTTCTTATTGTTACTTCTTTTAGTCAAGACTTTTAAAGAAAAGTACACTTCAAACTTTTTCGTCTTGTTTGAGGGCGAAGTTATGAATTCTTGCACAACCTTTGTCTCGCTGTGCAAAAACGATCTAACCGTCAATGGCCGGCAGGATAGACAGTCGCCATTTAAGATTAGCGCAAAAGTAACACGCGTTATTTTTACCGGTAATGGTAACGCATTCCATTTGTGTTGAGGTAACAAATTCGGTAAAGCGTTCATTTTATGTGCACGTGACCACTAACGGATTTCGTTACTCTTTCTTCGGTGACTCCTACAACACTGCTATAAAATGTCAAGTCTTCCTACGTATTCCAGGTTTAGAAGCGCCTCCGAGAGTAGCCATTTTTTCGTAGTTCGGACGTCTTTGTCCTACCTGTGTGGATAGGGTATAGGCCAGTCAAGAGCGCTCCCCTGGATGGCGAGCACAGATACTGGATGTAGTAGTTGTTGAGAATGATTCCAGAAGCCGCCAAAACGTCCAGGTTTGGGGTCGGTATTTGGGGATTTCCGCGGAAGCTTGTGTCCGCCCAACCCTGCGAGGTTAAGTATTAGGCGTTATTCAATTAGGGTCATCCGTATATAGTGAATGTATAAGTTCCTCACCCGTGTGAAGCGACCTACCTCGAGCCGCACAACAATATTCGCTTATGTCGGCACAATATTGTTCGCAATATATGCCGAGCATCCCGTCCTTTCCATCGTCCCACTATCTCGCGAATATCGTTTAAAAACTCGGGCAGTACTGGCACAATATCCGTCGACTAGTGGCAGCGTCGGCTCAGTACCCGCCGGACATCGCGTATATCGATCGAGTAGTGATAGCTACGGCTGAGCATCTGCCGGGCATTGCGTATGTCTGTCCAGTATCGGCGAAATGCCAGTTTTCGCGTTTTATGCTTTCTCATTCAGCGTTACACGTTATTCTACTGGCAATAATAATCCCTGGAGAAGAGGAACAAAGGAGACAAAGGACAAACACAAATCTCCAAACACAGTTATAAATGACTGGTGCGCGACCGAAAAAATCCGCCTGGTCCGGGTATCGAACCCGAGACCTATCCATTTCCAGTGGAGCTCTACAAACTGAGCTAACAAGCTTGTACTACGCTGGCAAAGTTACTGTATCTTTTACAGCACTCCGAGCTTGCGGCGCACGACTCCACAGGATGATTTCGAGAACCACGCAGTCCTTTGAAGGGAAATGGCTCTACTGGCCGTTAGTAGGCGCTGTTGCGCCTACAAACGGCCAGTAGAGCCCCTAACTCCTGGGCCGCGAAACGGTTTGAGTGGCCTCTCGTTACGTAGTACTATATTTCTCTATGAATTAGCCTACACTGTTATCAAGGAATTGAACACGACCAAGTCGGGACGTGCTATATGAATTCACGGGTGAGACATGGTTTTATAAAAACAATATTAATTTTTCCACAATACCTTGTAAACTCAAATTTGATAAAAACATCACGCGTCTGACATTCTATACTAATCTCCAATAAAAATGCCTACGATAATAGCTTTTTTAATTTGTATTTAGGCAAAAACATGCTTTCAAAACGGATAGTGGATGATCCTGTTTGTAATTGACAAATTTCCCTGTTTGCCGATCTCCCAGGAGGCGTCAGGAGCATCGTCTCGCTCCAGTTTCTTTCTTTTTCTATTTCGGCCGTTGGTGCTATGAAACTATATGATCTGATTTGATTTAACTTGATCTGAGATTAACCAGATTTTTTTTGCTGGGGCGGCGTAAAGATTTGAAAGGTCCAACTAATCAAAACTAAAACAGCACGCTGAAGTTAAACAGATATATGGATGTTTGTCTTCTAATGTCCCCCATTTGTTATCGTAATCACGAAGGTGTGTAGCGATTTTTTTTTTTAATCTTAAGCAGCGAATTGGTCACATTATTGTCTTACGCGCCCACCACTTTTCACCTGTCTCCAAGCTGGCGGATGTTCTTTTACTGCTTTATGGGTGTGTATTTTTAACATATTTATTAAAACAAAGAGCTCATTGCTACGTGAATGCGGACTTCATCCTGAATTTTTCAGGGGCGGCAGGTAGTATACGAGCAGAAAATCGTTGCGTTTTGTAGGGTAGCGAACTTAAATTTGTTAATGAACTTTTTTAATTAGTCGCCTTCCTGGTCATGCTCATATTTCAGTTTTGAAGGCTACCACTGTGGAAGGCTAAGTCAATTTACGGAAGGTAAAAAAAGGTTATCGGCTTGGAGATATTCGCTAACAATCATTTCACCCTATTCGGCTACGATTTGATAGTTGTGTGCAGTGATATTTTGTTTTGTTTTATTTCACAGCCGATACAGTGCAAAGTTTGTCGGCGAGTATCTCCGATCCGGTGGCTTCTGTTTACCTTACGTAAATTGATTTAGCCTTCCACGGTGGTACTTTACAAAATTGCACCTTCAACGTGACCTGTATAGCTACAAACTAAAAAAAAAAAAAAATCAATGAATTATAGTTATTTTTCTACAAAAGGCCGGTTATTTGATTTTATAACATCCGCCGTAAATCAATCGCCGATCGCTGAAATCAAACAGATCACTAAAATTAGAGCCGAAAATTAAGGCCACTTTTCTTCAACGTCATTTTCACATCGGCCGTAAATGCTCAATACCGCGCAGTCATTGCCGGTTCAGAAATGGTATTCACAGCAAAACGGTTTGTGCAACCACCAAACAGAGGGAGCTTAGCTGCATTCTGCATCCTTAGACCATCGCCTTTGTTAAGCGCCGGCTCGACCTTCCACATGTTCTGCCGAAATCGAGAGTATCAAAATGGTGCCGGCACAATGTTCCCTATACGACGACAATATCGGCGTATTAGAATGGTCCTCGCACAAGTTTTCCGATCCCACGCGCATATCGGCTAAATACGCTTGATTTTTGAGAGGGAGATAGGCCCCAACCTGACCTTCCTTCCCGGAAACTTCGGAGAGTACCCAGCGCCCCCCCCCCCCCCCCCCCCGCAGTCGACGCCTATGCTTCGGGGAGTGGGGGGGGGGGGGGGGGGGGAAGGGGGGAGGAGGAGGAGGAGCAGAATGTCTCTCTTGAAGTTTCCCGGGGGTGGGGATATGACCCCCCCCCCCCCCCCCCTTTCCAAAGCGTAGGCGTCGACTGCGGGGGGACTGGGGGCTCTCCGAAGTTTCCGGAAAAAGGGGAGAGAAGGGGGGGGGGGCAGGTTGTCTATCTCCCTTCTCGAAATTCCGCCTATACTCGGACATCGAGCGAGTCTTTCCATGGCGCCGTTTTTATTTTTCATTCCTGCAAGCACCGCCCTAGCAAGCGTTGTGACAAGGACTCCCTGCTCGCATGAAACTTTCTCTACATGCTTTCTCGAGGAAACACAACAGTTCAAAAACGACTTGCGAAAGGCACGGAAAACGAAGGTAGGAGAGGAGAAAGCAGACGGATTGCTAGAGAGGAGAGGAAGGTGTAGTTTTGTTCATCTGTTTTTCGCCTTTTCAAACGAAAGAGTCGCAATGACGCTTCTTCCTTTTTTCAAACTCTTTCCCTCTCCCTTGTTGACTTAATTGATTTTCTTCCTTAAGCTCTTTCTCTCTCTCTCTCTCTCTTGGCGTGGTGTTGGTCAGTTGCCCGTTTGAGTTGAGTGCGTAATGCCGTCCCACTGAACAAGAATCAACTTGCTGTCTGGCGTCTGGCTCCCGGCGTGGACTTTTGACATGGAGTCGACGGCTGCGTGCACGCTGGCTACACCGTGTTCTGGCGGGTTCTTGTGGAGGGGCGAGACCATGGTTCATCCCTCCGCGCTACAGGGGTGCAATACCATTGTTTGGCTCTGATTGGTGCTGCCTTGATGGAGAAAGAGAACTCCTCGGTCTTTACAACCGGAATAACGTTTCTTTGCAGGTGTTGAGGACTGCGCCCATAGTCAACGGATTGTTCGGATGCCCGTTGAACGTTTGACATTGTTTACGTACTGTTGTAGCTAGAAGTTAAAACATCGTCTCTTTAAGAATTGCTATCTCACTTTGTTTTGGCCCTTGATTTAGGATACGTTCCGAGTTTAGCACATGCTTTGTTGTAAAAATATCCGTACCTCGCCTAGACATCCATACCACGCCTAGAGCAATTTTGTTTTCATTTCCTATTCTACTTTGAATTTTTCTGAGTCCACGCTGCACAATGCGATCGTTGCGGCATCAAAACAAAGGTCACGCTTAGATTTTTTTTTGTTTTTTTTTTTGTTTAATGATTGATACTTATTATGTAAACCATCAATGCCAGTCTTGCCCTGTGTTTTTTTTTTCACTTTTAGGGTGTACAAAAAAATTATAGAGAAATGCCTCGTGAGGAAGCTGAAGGCTCCAAACGAAAACGATGCGTGGCCGAGCTGCTCTTCATCGGGCGCGAGGTCATCACCCTGTGGATCCATCACTTGCGAAACCTCGTCCATTGAAAAAATCGCGAGTACTTCAAGCATCTCGGCAGCCGCCGTAACTACTGCATCCGCAACCTTGCAAATGATTAGCAGCGCCTCGGTTTCTAGCCCTCAAGGAGTGCAGGGACGACGATACAAACCAACCTGGATGCTCACCTACAAATGTCTTCATTATGATGCTTCATTGAACAAAGCGTTGAGTGAAACCTGTCGTGCTGCTTACGAGAGGCGGGTACCTTTACCAAACACATCGAGGGACAAGGACTCTTACCTTTCTTTTGGTACAAAATGGCTTTTCGAACTGGAAGAACGTTTTGCAGAGATTTCAAAGCCACGAGGTCTCCAGTTTTCATTAGGCAGCCTTAGCCTTTAAATTTGCTGTAAGTAAGGGTGTAATTGTTGCTCCTTGTTGCTTTAAAGCACAGCAAGAGAAAATAAAGGCCTCTAAAAGGCACTTTTAGCCATAGTATCTTCGTTGCACTACTTGATATGTCAAAGCCTAGCAGTACGTGGTCATAATGATGCAGAAAGCAACGTAAGGTAGCTTCTGAAACTACGCGGAAATGACATACCAGACCTGCAATCTTGGCTATGCCGATCTGGGTACAAATGCCTTTCTCCTGAAATGTTTAGCAAACTGTTAGAAATGATGGTTCACGGTGTTCCTTGCTCATTGACAAACGAGGTTCACGAAGCAGGACATTTTTCCGTGATAGGGGATGAGACAAACGATGTGTCGGTCAAAGAGCAGGTATCTATTTGCTTTAGAATCGTTACAAATAACTTCAAGTTGCAGGAGTTATTTTATGGTATTTATAACGCAGCAGACACGAAAGCGACCTCACTCTTTGCCATTCTCAAGGACACACTCTGCTGTTTTAGTTTGCCGATTGACATGTGCCGTGGGCAGTGTTACGATGGTGCCGCAAACATGAGGGGCCAGCACAATGGGTTTCAAGCGCTCATGAAAGACGAAGAACCACGAGCGCTGTACTTGCACTGTATGGCGCATGTTCTTAATCTCGTGTTACAGGACTTGAGCCACAATGTGAACATGTGTCGTGACTTCTTGAGCATGATAACTGATCTCATAAGCTTTGTAACGTCCTCCACAA